GAGGTCTCAGGATGCCGCCCGTAGACAATCACCGCCATCAACTTGCTTGGCTTCTCCCAACGCTGCTTCATGAGAATGAACTGCCAAAAGTCCTGGACTGAAGGGCCTAACCTATTAATAGACTACAATCTACAGTCACTACAGGCTACAACTACTCTAGCCTACACGTAGACCGGACTGACTGACCGACCAGTACCATTTCTGTTTCGGTCTCCCTGCCTCTACCGGACCCGGCTATAGGCTATAGGACCGTCTATCAGCATAGGCCCATAGGGCCTCTCTGTCCTAGGGGTAGCCCGGGCCTGCTATTCGCAGTTAGGGTAGTAATAGGAAATCCAGTTAGTGTTAGGACTGTAATTTTCTAAATTTACAGATACGTCCCTCACGGATTTCCTTACAGGTAGGTCTCTCGGTTAGCCCTCAGCCAAACAAAATCACAAATCTAACCTACCGGGTTGGTGTACAACCTCGCAATCAGTCTCGACAGTCAAAATCAGCAAGTCATTGCACTAGTCTCAGAGAGGGAGCGCCTCACACTCCCTCCGTCCCACACAATGAGAGTCGCAAATAAAAAGCACAAGAGCCCTGGTAAAACCCAACGCCACCTAAATACTGAACAAGTGTCGCCACCTGCACCCCGCTGCGAAGGCCTGTATGCAAAATTCACAGACTGAGCTTGCGCCTGTCGATCAATAGGCGGTCACTGACCTGCATCCTGCTACTAAGGCTCAGACCGGTAATGATACAGTTTGGCTATCACAGACTGAGCCTGCGCCTGTCGATCAATAGGTGGTATAGGGTCCGATGGCGTCCCCTACCCGTGCGGGCCGAGTCCTGTCCTCTGCCTGACGCGTCGACCTCCACCATCATCTCCATCCGCCGCCGGGCGCCGGGGCACGTAATCGGAGTCACCTGGATCGTCGGCGCCTGTGGTCTCGCCAGCCTCCGCGGCTGTGGAGCTGTCATCATGGTAGATCACCACATCGCCTCGTCTTTTCTCGACTCGCCCTGAACGAGATTGGACTGTCCCCCCGTCCGCCACTGCCCCGCCAGTCGCCGAAATCTGTGTGGTCGGAGCTCTGGCGTGAAAAGTCGATGGTGGACGGCGACGGTGATATGGAATCGATTCACCTGTCCCCTTCTTCCTCGCCCGGGGTCGCCATCCTCGTGTCGTGGACATCTGTTGTCTTGGCCCGCAAAGGCCTCCCAGGTCGCTCCTCGTATGCTCTCATGGAGTCGTGACAACCACCATCGACGCTGCCTATGGATCGCATCCCCGCACGCACATCTGTTAGTCCGCATGTTGATGCATGTCCCTCATCGCCCGCCCTCCGGTCCCTGGTCACGCCGTCGTAGAACGACACCGTCGGCAATGCGGTGCTCGCCGCCACACCGTGGACGATAGGGTCTGCGCCGTGGGGGTGCGGAGGAGCGTGACCCCTATGCTCGCCTTCGACACCACGTGCGATGGACCCCTCGGCGACAATCTGTGCGGCCGATGACCCTCTATGCTCGTAGTGCGACCCAGTGCTGTGAGCAGGCACGCTACCATCTGTGGTTAATGTCCGTGCCAGACTGCGTTGCGCTGCGACGCGCACGGTACCATCCGTAGTGCGTCCGCGGCGACAACGTCGGGAGCCGTCTCCTGCACCGAACGTGGCGGGCCTGGGTGCGGGTCTGCCTGAGAGAGTGTCGGGAATGATGACCTATCGCGTGCGGAATATTGTGCACAATGACCCTCCTGCGCCGCATACTCTGCATCCAATCTCTCAAATGAATCTCCCAAACTGCGTTGCGCCGCGACGCGAGGGCCGCCACGATGGTTCCGTGCCACCTGCTGCGCCAAACCCTGGTCCACCGCGTGCGGTGCCCCAACATGAAAAACGGTGGGAGTGGCGGAGACTGAGGGATGCAATATCGTGTCGCCGGCGAACTCATCGAATCCTCTACGCACTCCATCCGCGTCATCCGCTCGACCAGTCGCTGGTGGTGCCACAAATGCCAAAGTGGGAGAAATCA